GGGGGATTCGGGGGAGGGGTTGGGGTTGCAGGGCAGGGGACTCAAGGCAGAGGGTGCGGGGGTGCAAGATGTGTGGGGGCTGATGGGCAGGAATGGGGGTGCAGGAGTCAAGGCAAGAGGTAGGGGTTCTGGGCATGGGGTGGGAAATGGGGTATGCAGGAATCAGGATGGGAAGCTCCAGGAAGGGGGCTCAGAGCAGGGGGATGTGAAGTGGGGGCATTTGCAACCCTCCCCAGTCAGCAGTTATTGGAGAGGGGCTGTCTGTCTCCTCTGGCTCTGGCCAGCCACCCTGCCCCGCTCCCCCACCCCCACGCTGGCTGGTGGCAGGGGAATGGCCAGCATGCCTTCCCCCCAGCAACTCCTTGGGAAGCAGAGTCCCCCATCCTCTACTACCATTGGGGAATGGGGTTGCACTGTCCAGCCCCAGGGTGGGTCCCAAGCGTGCCACAGCTCTGGGGCCGGCGGCTGGCAGGGCTGGTGGCTGTTGCCATTTAGGTCAGGGGTGGGCAAATACCGGCTCACAGGCCAGATTCAGTCTGCCAGGGCGAGCCCCGAGCCGATGCCCTCGCCCTATTTTCCTCTGCCTTAGCAGGTTCCAGGGATCACAGTTCCCAGCAGCCCCGGATCCCCGTTCCTGGCTAAGGGGAGCTGCGATTGTCCATGCCTGCAGAGGCGCAGGTAAATATAGCGACAGCGGCCCACCAGGGGCTAGCCCTGGGGAACTGCTGCCATTTATTGCCCACCCTCGCTCTAGGAGGGGCTTGTGAACAAACAGACTCACAGACGGATGGACAGACAGATGCACATTTCTAAAATACAGAGACAGATAACAATGCAGCGTGTCTTTTAATGGGGGCTCAGTGAACTTAATGCTATTTGGAATGTTTGCGGCGCATAGCTCTGATTGATTGCCTCTGAGCTCACTTAAATCAGCAATTTTACCAGGCGTCCCGTATTTGGCACAGGGAAATATGGTCACCCTAGTGTTAAGGACCATGCTGAGAAGCCTTGTATGAAAGGCACTACAGGTGTGCATGCTCATAGATGCTGTGTGTTGCTCCAACGCACAGGAAATCGGTCCACTAAAGCCCGCAACACACTGTAACAAGACGGAAACCAATTTTTGTACAAAGAGGGTTTTAATTCAGCCCGTTGCTTTGTGCAAAACACACAGTTTACACACAAATAAAAAAGGAAAGTGTCATATTACTTCAGCATCCAGAGTGCACGCCCCGCACGCACCCCCCTAACGCCTGAGGAACCTAAGAAATTTTTTGACCAGGTCCCCATGCAAACTACTGTTATAGATGTTATGATCCTCATTGGGATCACTTCCTACCATGTACAGCTCTCCAGCATGAACATCCTGCAAATCAGCACTAAAGTTACTGGGATTAAACCCAACCCACACAGTATAGCGATAGTCAACAGTGCGCATGGAATACCCCATGATTTTTATGTCTTTCAGCTCTGGTTTATCCGAGTCCCACTGGGGAGTGTCTGCAGGCCGTGGATACTGGCTGAAAGCTATTGGCTCCTCATAGTCATCTTCAAGGTCATAGTCACTGTCATAGGCAGTAGCGTAGACATCCTCGTCAGTGGCGTTAAAATGCCGGACAACACTCGGCCCCTCGGTGCAGAGCGCAACATGAAATGAAGCGTCAGGGCATGCTGGAGGAACCCACAGGCCTGCAAGTTCAGCCAGTGTTGAGAAGACAGACACAAGCTCAACCATTTTTTTGGCTTTTCCTAGAAAAAGCATCAAAATACAAGTTAGGGAATAGCACAGCTCACAAGCCCATTTCGGAAGGAACAATCCATTTCACACATACTCAATGGGAAGTGACTATCTAGGAAGGAGCACTACAGAAAGTTATCGAGGGGTCACAGTGGACCACAAGCTAAATAGGAGTCAACAGTGTGACACCGTTGCCAAAAAAAAAGCAAACATGATTCTGGGAGGCATTAACAGGAGTGTTGTGAGCAAGACACCAGAAGTCATTCTTCCGCTCTACTCTGCGCTGCTTAGGCCTCAGTTGGAATATTGTGTCCAGTTCTGGGCACCACATTTCAAGAAAGATGTGGAGAAATTAGAAAGGGTCCAGAGAAAACCAACAAAAATGATTAAAGACCTAAAAACCATGACATATGAGGGAAGACTGAAGGAATTGGACTTGTTTAGTTTGGAAAATCTCTCCAGGGTGGCTGCCCAAGTGCTCAGCTTACAGAGAACATTGGTCCTCAGTCTGCCCTAAGTTCAGCATGTCCATGCTCTGTCCCCTAAAATAGAGAGGGGACATGATAGCAGCTTTCAAGTATCTAAAAGGGCATTACAAGGAGGAGAGAGAAAAATTGTTCTCCTTGGCCTCTGAGGATCGGACAAGAAACAATGGGCTTAAATAGCAGCAAGGGAGGTTTAGGTTGAACATTAGGAAAAACTTCCTACCTGTCAGGGTGATTAAACACTGGAATAAATTGCCTGGGGAGGATGTGCAATCTCTACCATTGCAGATATTTAAGAGCAGGTTAGATAAACATCAGGGATGATCTAGGATGACTTGATGACCTCTTGATGTCTCTTCCCATTCTAGTATTCTATGATACAGGCTGACCTTTTGAGACGCTGGCTAGAGGAGCTCTTTATCAGCTGCATTTTGCCTTTGTTTTGTAGGGCAACAATGCTGAGGCTATTTAAGAAGGCGTGGCTGCTAGCTCACAGGACATCTGGCCATGTACGCGCTTATACCAAACTCAGCACCACGAAGAGAAGACTAGCTCTTCCCACATCTGTTCCTCCACTATTCTAACTGAGCCTTGAGAAGTATCTCCTCTTTTCAGAAGTCATCCTTCAAAAATAAGAAAATAACAAAATCACCAAATCAACTGCTTCATTGTGGCAACTTTTGCCAAAACATTACTTTTGGTGCCACCCTTGTATCTCTCATATCAGCTGCTGCAGACGTATTGTCAGTGCATCCTCTGGTGCATGGGGACAGAGCATGGACATGAACTGAGGACCAATGTTCTCTGTAACGTGAGTGCTTGGGTAGACACCCTGGAGAGATTCAAATGCTGCCCAGCTGATTAGCAGAATGCCCACAGCCTCTAACCTGCATATCAACTGGTGGTGCACATCCACATGCCTCAGTGCACATAAAATTCATTCCACACATGGATGGAAATAATTAGAAGGAACGTTGTTGAGGCTTGACCATAGCACAAACTTTCCCATTCACTGAGCTGAAAGACTAAATGTCAACCTCTGCTGTCCAGTATTGTAAGTTGGAAAGCTGCAAAAACATTTTGACTTCAGTGCTCAGACGTAAGCCCAGTGCCAACAACGGGAAGCTGCTGCTTAGAAGCTTCCATCCCTGTCTGCCGACAGCAAGCATAATTATTCGGTTAAGATATGGGATAGCAACTGCATTTGCTTATGCAAGTGCCGAAAACGTACCTGGAGCTACAAAGTCC